GTTTTGGTGCGCTGGTGTAGTTGAGGCCTCGACAGGTGCTGAATGAGATGAGGGAGAGACAAGAGAGATAGATCGATCGCAATCGACAAGGGAGGGAGCAGGGGATGCTGGCTGCTGTCTTGTGTATTGTTTTCTTTCATGTCGAGGTGTTGGACCCTTGTTGAGATCCAGGCTGGGTTTGGATACCGTAAAGGGTAGGGTAGCGCACAAAGGAGAGGTGGGTGGATGTGCTACAGTCCTGTCGTCTGCCGATCTCTTTGTCTCAGAGGCGCTGCGTCGTACAACGTACTTGTTACGAGATGAGATGATATGATATGTATCTGATGCATGTATGGTTCCAATGCGAGCACGGGTGCGTGAAGTCGCTTGGGCACTTTGCTTGATCCTACTGTAGCTTATTGTTGTAACGTCATCTTGGTGATCGCCATAGACATCTAAACCGCACATGCGTGAACCGATCCGGACGTGTACAGTATGTGGTATGTTCTGTATGCATTTTAAACATCCATTCCCCACGAGGAACAAGAAAAATGGGGGCGGGGGAGTGATAACCTTTAGCTTCGTCTTGACTGAAGAGCGTTTGGATGAGCTACCCATATGTTGTTTCTGTGTGAGGGTGAAGATCTTGATGGGGCAAATAGCGCGAAACATGCAAAACGTTTGATTTGATGTACTTGTACAAGCCCGTGATGAAACCGTTTTTTTTTCAACACTCGTAATGGCCAACGCATGCATTCGTAACGACATGTATGTGGTGCAGAAGGTGGCATGTGTGCATGCGTTGTACCTTACTGGAGACAAACGTGGTAAACGCACGACGCGGTGTGGGGGGTGGGGAGGGGGGGGGGAGACTGGTCGTATACGTACGGCGCTGCCACTGTCAAACTTTGTTTTTGAACTGTTGTTAGAACTGTCAGTGCTTTGTGCGGGTTGAACAGGTGTTGTCACGTTGATACTACGGTAGGTTCTTGTTGTATTGTATTATAGTGGTCTCCTAGGCTTGATGGTCTTGATTTGATGGTCGCTAAACAAAGACGAAGCAACAGCGGAGGCGTGACAGACCTTGGTGTGTGCGTGTTCTTCGCCTAGACTGGGGTGGTAGGTGTACAGTATGTGGTGTTTTTTCTGCATCCGAAGTATTCCCCACGAGGAACGGGAAGAAATAAGGAGGAGGGGGTGATAGTCTTTAGCTTCGTCTTCGCTGAAGAGCGTTTTGATGAGCTACCCATATGTTGTTTCTGTGTGAGGGTGAAGATGTTCATGTAGTATCCCGTAGTGTGATACACGCAAAAACTTCATGTACGAGCACGTGGCAACTTGTTTTGTTTTAAAATCGCATGGCCAACGCCAGTAAACGACATGTGCATGAATGTGGTATGTGTGCATGCGTTGTTTTCTTCCTAGGGATTTACATGGTTATTTCTCTATGCGGCGGGGGGGGGAGGAAACCCGTTGTAAAATATCGTGCTATTATTGCTGACGCTTTTTTTTGTTGGTACTGAAACTTTGTTGTGAACAGTGTGTCGTTGTGGGATGAACGGGTGTCTGTTTGTGTACGTTGATTATGTTTCGTTCAGTTTTATCAGGTGCGTGATGATCTTGACGTGTGTGTGTTCTCCGCCTAGATTGGACAGGGTAGGTGTGTGTACCGTATGTGGACTAATTTATGCATGCTCAACATTCCCCACGAGGAACGAAAATAAATGGCGAGGGGGGAGGAGAGATGGAAATACACTGGCTTCGGCTCGACTGAAAAACGTGTGGATGAGCTATGTTGTTTCTGTATGAGGGTGGAGATCTTGATGGGACAAATCGGTAGCGCGATACATACAAAAGGTTTAATGTACGAGCACGCGACGATAACTTATTGTTTTGTTTAAAACTCGCATGACCAACGTCACTAAGTCGAGATGTGGTGCATGAGCGTGGCACGTGTGCGTGTGTTGTTTCTTTCTAGCGTACACATGGTTAAGCGCATGCGGCGCGACTGCTGTCAGAATTTGATTTTGAGACTTTGCTGTGAAGAGTGTTTTGTGCGGGCTGAACGGTTGGCAGTTCACTTCGATTATGTTTTGTGCAGCTTGATTGGGTGTTGTTCACTTGAGATCGACCCTCCATTCTTGTTGTAACGTTTCCTAGGGTGATTAATGCTAACTAAGAACTAGAAATAGCGGAGGCAGGCGTGATGGATCTTGACATACATACGCGTGTCCTAAGCCTAGATTGGACAAGGTACCGTATGTGGGGTATGTATGTCTTTTCGGCCTTCTAGGCATGCACGAGGAACGAGAAAAATGGCGAGGGGGGAGGAGGATTGAGAGTTTTTTTCGGTAGCTTCGTCTTCACTAAAGAGCGTTTCGATGAGCTATGGTTCTGGAGGAGCGTGACCTTGGTGTGGCAAATCGTTTTCGCGATATATACATACAAAAAAAAACTTTGACGCACGAACACGTGATGACGATTTGTTGTTTTGTTTTACACTCGCGTGACAACGCCATTAAGACGGGATGTAGTGCACGAATGTGGCATTTGTGCGTGTGTTGTTTACTCATGGTAAATGCTCTATGCGGTGTGGGAGGTGGGGAGGGAGGGGAGACTGGTCGTATATGTATCGTGCGACTGCTGTCAAACCTTGATTTTTGAAATTTTGTTGTGAAGAGTGTTGTGTGCGGGTTGAACGGGTGTGTGTTCTTGTATCGTTTCGTCACACCACAGCGGTTTTATGACCAGGATCAGCATGAACTGAGAAATTGCTGAGTGGAATGCAGAACATGGATGGCACTTGAACACAACCAGGCACAATACAGAAATGCAGGCATTAGGGTGTTTTTCTTCATCAACCGGTTGGTGGTGTGGTCCTGCGTGCACGTATTTAAGTGCATACCGTGTAGACTATGTGGTGTTGTTCTGAGTAATCGCTGGTCGGGAAGGGATGTGGAGGAACCAGCATGCGGGGGATGTTGGTGACGTCATTGTGTTTGTCCTCGTGCTTTACGTCTGATTGTTTTAGACTGGTACGTATTACGGAGAGATTATTACGACGTTTCAGCGCGTACGACTATTGCCTGGGTGGTGGTGAGTACGTTTGTATGTTGCTGCACATCGTACGGAGCAACAAGAAGGAATCAAAAAGGGAAGTGATTGATGGAATATGGTGCATTGTCATGTTTTTTTTTTCAATGACAAAGCTCGGGCAGCATTTTGAGAAAACTAAAACTGTGCGATAATTTTCTTTCGCTGTCCCACTCGTCATTTGCGTTTGGTCTCTCCCGAGTGACATTTCACCTCGTGGCCCACTCTTTGGCCTTCGTTCCAGGATCGCACAAAGGGAGGACTCCTATGCCGCCGTGCTTACCTTATTTGCTGACAGGAGAAAGGGCTTGACCCTCCCTTCCCTCAAGTAGTCGTCGCGCGCTCCTCAGCATTAGGATATATTTACCATGCAATGACGATACGTTCACGTCGTCGAGGCTCGAATTCCATCGTCTAACGCATGCGGGTACTAAAGGAAGCTTGGCATAACCCATCGTTGGATCGAGAGGCCAACAAACGCCCAAGTGTCGAAGAATTGTTGAACAATCACAAGCCCTTCAGCAGGATGCACGCCAAAAGAAGAGAACCGCTGCAGTATTTTTCGAGAACGACAGAGTACACTGTTCAGTTTGGAGTGCAGCCACGCGAGGGGACAGGGAGAGTCGCCTGCGATTTCTCTACAATCACGTGTAGTCGCCGTAGGCTTGCAGTCGATGGGGAAACTATCGGAGGGAACACATATGGGAAACTTACTCACCGGTAGGAACGATCTACAGGCAGTACCGGAGTGATTTTCCATGCTCTGTAGTGCCTAGTACTTCGAAGTATGTAGTCAGCACACCCTACCTACCGTTCCCCCCATGAACGCCTGGTATATTAAGTGCACCATTAGTTAATTCCCTGCCTTCCTCTCGAATTGTCCCTGGCTTGTATCCTTTCCAGCGTTGTCTCACTTAAACCGTGGCCTACTGACAGCCTTGTGAAAGCCAACAGCTGCTGAACATTCACTTTGCCGTGAAACAGACTTCCGAGATAGATAGACACGGAGCACACGCCGACGGGGACAAAATGAAAATTGTGGTGGGCAAGGATCGGGCATTAGAAAAAGATCAACATTTTACACCACACACAGGAATGCACGACATCTGAAGGAGGTGCCAATCTCTCCTGTTGACAAGCTCCTTGTAGTTATATTGGCCTGCTCACTAAGCCTTCCTTGTGGTCTGGGCGGCTACGGTTGTAACGTCATTTACCTCGACCTGAGCGTCGATGTTTTCTTCCTCTATGTCTGTCTTGTCCTTCGTGGCTTCCCCCGTGCTGTCGACCGATGACGCCTGCGATCGCCACGAGTCCCGGCGTTCAGCCTGTCAAGGAAAAAATGACATTGGGGGGGGGGGGGGGGGGGGGTTTT